CCTTGTTTAATTATATTCGATCTTGAAAATCTGGAGGTATATAATTAAACTTGGATTTCCTATTCACATTTAAATAAATAAGAGAAATGTTAAATGTGAAATCATTACTTAAAATATCCCTGGTAATGATTGTGCAATAATAAAATAATAACTTGAAATATTTGTGTTATTATATTCTGCTTATACATGATGACTAAATTTTATCATTTTGATATGTTATTGAATGATTATAAATTAGATAGCCCGAACTATTGAATTGGAAAAGAAATCTATTTAATTTTCAAATGCTGAATGTTTGGCCTATGATTGTCTAAGGTGACATACCCGCTTAACCAGATATAACTAATGATAAAGATCATCAGTCATAATCCTGCTTAAAGATAATAATGATAAAAGTAATGTTCATAAGATGAAAATAGATATATATTTTCATAAGATGTTTTGATATATATTGACAAATTAGATTTGTTGGAAGTTGAGATCGAAATCAAACGTTGATGTGATATTTACTTCCTAATCTCACTCCTTGTTTAATTTAACTATCACTTTATTAGAATTGAACAAGTTGTTAAAGAAAAGAGGAAAAAGAATATTATTAAGCAGGTTAAATCCATAATGATGGATATCGAACTGGATTGTCCAGTTTTAAGAAAAGAAAATTTTCTTAAGAGAGAAATCTGAAAAGTAAAATAGGTTTCTAAACATGAAGCTGAAATTTAAATAATGAAAGTCATTAGAAAAGAAAATTATAAAGGTTACATTATGTCACTTAATAAAAAATATCTTTTGAAGATAGTTCACCCATTAATTAGTAGAGTCTACTAATGTGAATAATTTTTATATATGATGTATTCATTCTAGTTTATCTTTACATACTTACAAATTTGTTGTAAGAGTATATGAAAAGATTAACTTTGACAATGAAAATAAAAGCCCTAGTTTCAGCATTGTAAATAAAAATAATAATAATAAGAAATTTGTTTCTGTTTTGAGTGAAGGGCATGAAATAAAACTTAAAGATTGTCTTAATGTTTCTTAAAGTTAGAAGAAATTTGATTTCTATTTTCTAAATTTTATAGTAGTGATTTTCTATTTTCTTGTAAAATAGAATTTTTATTAAAAGTTTAGAAATTGCTTTGTTGATAATTATGAAATTAAAACCGTTTATTTTTCATGATTGTCACCCTTAACTCTTATGTAATGTTATTGGAATTGATAAATCTCTTAAAATATAGATTGGATCAAGGTAATCTAACTTATCTTTGGCACAAAAAATATTAGATCATGTTAATGTTGATAAGATCAATAAATTGATAAAGGATAGTCCTTTGAATTTTCTAAATTGGAATATTTCTCAACTTGTAAATATTGTCTAAGAGACATATGACCACACTATTTTTCTAGAATAGTGCTAATGCTCTTGCGTACTCTTGACTTCATACATTCAGATGTATATAATTCTTTAAATGTTAAAGCAATAGTTAAATATTCTTATTTTATAGCATTCATATATGATGCAATTATATATTGATGTATTTATGCGATTGCATCATAAATTAGAATGTTATTGAAGTTAAAGAGGAGTTTGATAAAAGTATCAAAGTCATCTGATTTGATCCAGATGGCAAGTTCCTATTCTTAGGAGTTTAAGAGATTTATGAACAAAATGGAATTGTTAGTACTTTGACATCTACTAATTTATCACTCCTAATTATTTGTCTGAAAGATGGAACTAAACCTTATTCGATATGGTTAGGTTTATACTGGGCATTTACATGTTCTTATTTTCTAATAGGTTATGCATTGGAGATTGCATATTATTTATTATGTAGAATTCCTGCCAAATCTTTTTCTTTCACTCCATATTAGACATGGATATGAAGAAAATTAAGTGTATGATGCTTGAAGACCTGGAGTTGTTATATTCTCATGAGAGAATAAAATATAGACAAAATGGGAGTCTAAGGTAAATAACATCATACTAGTAGGTTATCCTAAAGAAAGTACTAGGTGTTATATTGATAATCCTAGTGTAGTTTTCAGACAATAATTATTACTAGAAATGTGTTCTTTTATAAAGTCAACACGTGTCGCCGGGTAGTCTATTCCCGTGAGAAAGACGAAGCCTATGTATTCAAAATCATAGCACAAATTCTAAGAGAATTTACTTTCTTAGCACAACGTTACATGCGGAACGGATTTAGACAATCCGCATGCTAGCCCGACTCAAACGGTAGTCGGTAAAGGCTAATCAAACCCGTTAAAGGCTGGGGGTTAGTAGTGTAGTTTTCAGACAATAATTATTACTAGAAATGTGTTCTTTTATAAAGTCAAGCTTGATGATTAGGATTTATATAACTCAAGAAGAAAATTTGTTTTCTTTAGTGAGAGAGTTATTTAATCCAGTGGGGGAAATTTCAAATGAGTTGAAGATTGTATTTATTTAGTGGGAGCTTTAAGTAATAAAGTAAATAGAGATTTACTTACTAAATTTATTGTTGAATACACTGATTACAATTAGGAGATCATATAGGATTTTCATCCACCTGTATAGTACAGTAACCTTGTTAAAATGTATTTGATAAAAAGTAACAAGGATAATAAAAATCCTAAAACTTACACAAAAGTCATGTTGGACATGATTTCATGTAAGAGACCTGATGTCACATTTGATGACAAACAGATATTAATTGTTGAAGAATCTTTTCCTCTAATTGTAATATTATAGTCCATAAGGATCCATTTAGTCATTTCAACGTGTTATGAATATAAGATATCAATAAATGGATTTTAAAATAACCTTCTTGAATAGATATCTTTAAGAAGATATTTACATATTATAGAATCAAATATGTAAAATTCAAGAAGATAAAATTGATTAATTGAATCAATTAAAGTTATGAACTTAATAAATCAAACATTCATTTTGATGAAATGATTGATCATATCTTTAAAAAGAAATAATGTGTGTATAAGGAACAATAAAGTAAGTCCATTATATTCCTATCATTGCATGTTGATGACATATTGCTCATTAAGAATGGTATCTTAATGTCATGTTTAAAAGTATGATTTAGTTCTTTATGAAGGATTTTCTTTTGACATTCTATATCATAGATCTTAAACTCTATATAGATAGAGAAATAGATATATAGAAATGTCACAATCTACTTATATGGATAACATCCATAAAAGATTCAACTTAACAAGATTCTAAGAAAGGAATGATTCCTATAAGACATAAACAATCACTCTTTAAGGAAATGTGTCCTAAAAAGGTTGCTATTGATCTTGTAAGTAGTTTTCAATCCAATCCTAATAATAAAAAGTCTGTTTCGGGTTATATTTATATCATTAATAATAATAGCAGAATATGTAGTGTCATGTTAAATCATTAAAAGAAGGAATATGGATTAATGAGTTACTCCATAAGCTTAATATTATTTCTTGTAATAATTTTCTTTCTCATTATTATTTGATAGTAATGGAGCTGTTGCAAGAAGCTTAGAAAGAAAAATTATCTTATTAAAGGTTAATAAGAAGAAATATGTTATGGTTTAATAGATGGCTAAGCAGATAACATTTAATGTCCTTTTATAGACCATTGTCTTAAAATGTTTTTGACAGATGGGAGTAAGGATTACATCTGATTGGATGTTAGGGCAAGTGGGAGATTGCTGGAATAGTAATAATAATTTGCCCTTGAACATCCAATACATATTATGTAATAATATTATAATGTTAATAAAATTAATTGATGCACATAATTTGGGTATTATTATTTATATAATTGTTATATATATCCTTAGAAGTTATTTTGTTAGATCATGCACTGTGATGGTCACTTGCTTGGAGATATGATCTAACTTAAAAATTTCTTAACTTTGTGATTAACCTATAACTAGTAAAGGATAACTTTGTTATAATAGGTTATTATGCATGACACCGATATATGAGATATGGTGGTGGGTCTCAACCATCGGGAATGGAGATTCTCCGGGTGTATGTCATAAGCACGCATTATGATGTGTGTAGCACTAGACCGTATTTGAATTCTCTAGGATGAGTCACCTAAGAGATAAAGAATTCAAATTGTTACATGGTCCCTTTGACTTGATGATATTGTCATTTTCGATTTGATAATTTAGTATGCTTTGACGTGATGGTTAAGCTTGTTTAGCAAGCGCTACACAACCTAAAATATTAGGTTGCTAAATTTTATTTAGGAAAATGATGGATGTCTAGATAGGATTCAATATGCTCATTATGAAGAGTTAATTTATTATGCATTCCCATGAAGCTATTAAATTCTTGCCGGCAGGTGGCTTTAAAAATATTTTTAAAAATTTACTTTCTTATAAAAATAAAATATTTTGATGTTTTAAAATAATTTTTATTTATGTTCACGGGAATTGCAAATTTAGGCATGAGCAAATAGGTGAGTTGTCCTGCTTAAAAGAGTTGCCTAAAATAAATGATACTAGAAGAGAGTGAATGTAAGATATTATTTCATCCCATATTATGGAAGAGCTTTTATAAATAGTTGGTCGAATAGGGATTTGATTGTTAAATTAAAATTATTAATTTGATTAATAATTGATTCTCGATATGGGACCCAATTGGTCTCACTAATGTCATTAGAAGAGGTATACATGCAATGTAATTATATTTCTATCCTTAATTGTTATGGATAAAGTTTTTGAACAAATCTATTCTCTTTAATTGTTATGGATAGAGTTCTAAATAATTATGAATTGTTTAAAGTTAAAATCTCTAAGACTAGTGTAATCCTATAAATATGGTTCATATGTAGTGTTATGAGAAGAGATAGATGAGATTGAAAATCTTATGAAGATAATATGAAGAAATAGATTTTTAAAAACCTATCTCTCAGTATTGCTCCTCTACGGTGACGGGTGGATTTCAATTGGATGCTTTTTCTCTTGAGGAAGCTATTTCGGATTGATCTCGGGACAGATTATTGTAGAAACTCGGAAAGCGTTTCAGGTATTCTTCTAGTTTCTAATCAATTTTGAATAATTGTCATGATATGCTTTTTCTGCTGCGTTGTATGTCATGATTCTAACACATCTAGCTCAAGTTCATTTTTATCATCATCCACCAACATTAACGTCACAATACTTCTTGATACCGGGAATTTCGTTGTCAGAGATCAAACAAACTCATCTGCTATACTCTGGCAAAGTTTCGATCACATAACTGACACCTGGGTACCTCATGGATGGATTGGAATGAATAAAGTCACCGGTGAGTACAATGCTATTACTTCATGGAAAAACACTGAGGACCCAGCTCCATGGCCTTTTATGGATACTATAGACCCCAGTGGCCTCAACCAGTTTATTTTCTTGTGGAACAATTCGAAGAGTTATTGGACTAGTAGAATCTGGAATGAAGAACCCTTCGGCTTGCTCCCTGGAATGAGTGTGTACCATCTTTACACTTACAAGTTTATCAATGATGATAAGCACAGGTATTTCACTACAAATCTCACTGATGAGCGATATTTGACACGGAGCGTGATGCACTCTTCTGGTCAAGTTCAGCAGTTGATGTGGTTTGATGATGCTAAAGATTGGGAGTTGATCTGGGTGCAGCTAGTCTCTCCTTGTGACGTGTATTCTGTTTGTGGAGCCTACGGTATTTGTGATCAATCGAGGAAACCCCCTTGCACCTGTCCACATGGTTTCACACTGACTTCTGTTAGAGATTGGGAGCTTGATGGATGGAATTCAGGGTGCAAGAGGAAAACCCAGTTGAAGTGCGGTTACAAGAACTCCACTTCCGGAGAAAAAGATGGGTTTCTGCCAATACCCAATGTGCATTTACCTGCAGACTCAAAACAGCAGCTAGGAGGAAAAGGTGCTGAAGAATGTAAATTGGCTTTTTTGAAGAGTTGCTCATGTACAACTTATGCTTATGAGAGTGGGTGTTCAATTTGGAACGGAGACATTTGAAATCTTCAAAGTCTTTTTGAAGGTGACAATGGGGCTGGTACACTTTACCTGAGGCTTGCAGCTTCTGACCTGCCAAAGAAAACTAGTGAAATGAAATCAATCAGAAGGATGGTTGTAAGTGTAGTAATAGCAATAGTATTGTCAGCTACTATTGCTTTGATCTTGATATTCGTCAGAAAAAGGCATGGAGCATCAAAATCCCCCGAGCGTCCTTTGGTTTCATATAGTTACAGTGACTTGCAGCGCATAACAAAGAATTTCACTGAAAAGCTTGGCGATGGATGTTTTGGTTTGGTCTTCAAAGGACTTCTATCTGATTCAGATTTTGTAGCTGTGAAAAGACTTGAAGGGGTTCGACAAGGAGAGAAGGAGTTCCGTAATGAGTTGAGAATGTTGGGAAGAATTCAGCATGTTAATCTAGTCCATCTTCGTGGCTTCTGCTGTGAAGGAACCGAAAGGATGCTGGTGTACGATTACATGCCAAAGGGGTCTCTAGACAGCCACCTCTTTCAAAAATTTTAGATTGGAAGACAAGATACCAGATCATACTAGGAACTGCGAGGGGATTAGCGTATCTCCATGAAGAGTGTAGAGAATGCATTATCCACTGTGATATAAAGCCAGAGAACATACTCTTAGATTCTGAGTTTTGTCCGAGGTTATCAGATTTCGGCATGGCAAAGCTCCTTGGCCATGATTTTAGCCGAGTACTAACAACAATGAGGGGAACTATAGGCTATCTAGCACCAGAATGGATCGAAGGAGTACCAGTAACACCTAAAGCCAATGTCTATAGCTTCGGTATGATGCTATTTGAGATAGGTTCTGGTAGAAGAAATTTAAAGTTGGCTGAAGGAGGGAGCATCATGTATTTTCCTGTTCAGGCTGCCAGCAAAGTCATCACAGAGGAAGTTCTTAGCTTACTGGATGAGGATTTGAATGGTTCTGCTAATGCTTCGGAGCTGAATAGAGTATGTAGAGTTGCGTGTTGGTGCATTCAAGAATTTGAGGCGGATAGGCCATCGATGGCTGAAGTTGTCAAAACCTTGGAAAGGGTTTTAGATCTGAAGATGCCTCCGTTTCCTACAATTCTTCAATGCCTTGCTGAGGAAGTTTCTGTAGTTAGTTACTATGAGTAATCACTCAGATGTGCTCTCATGTATCAGAAAATTCTTACTGTGTACTAATGTACGTATCATCATGTTAGTAGTTGCAAATTAGAAATATATATTGAGTGTGGTTTTAAATAGGCCTCCAAATATACCCTCTATTAGAATTAAGGTGCAGATAAAGGGAGGCAGGCTTGTGTTACATGGTAATCTTTTTCTTTTGGAGATCAATTGTAGGTTGCAACTATTTATATTTCTATTGAGTCTTCTCTTGGTTCTTGCTCTATGGCTGAATTTTAATCATTTTATACCTCTATTTGGGTTATGTGCTCCTCCTCTCTCCTCTTATGTTTCCACAAGTAGAGTTCCATCATTTGTATTGAAGGATCAACGTTATAAGTTAGGTTCAAGTTCTTATGAGCCCTACTTTCCGCATGTAATTAAATTAGCTTAGAGAAGAGAAAGCAATATCATGAGGAAGATAAAGACGTTAATTGGAGTATCTGTTGTCAGTGCTTATGTAGTGGGTACAAATGAATAGTATTTGACATGTAACCAAATGAACAACTTTATATTTTATTTAACAACCAGAATTATTTATGTTTGCCTGACAGGGTCAAGGAGTTCTTCGTCGAGAGATTGTTGGTAACTTCAGGCTACTTGTAAAAGATTGTCTGATCCAGTTTTAGAGATTTTTTTTTTCAAAAACTAGGCCAAATATGGCCCGGTTTATTTTAGTTATGTTTTGAGATTTAAACTGGTTTAGTTGTGGACTGGGAGGAACTAGTCCACAACTTAACTGGTTTTAAATAGAACCAGTTTTAAGGCCAGCCTTAGCCCATTTTTAATAGGTTACCAGAACTAAAATTTAATTGGGAATAACAACGTACTTAATATCTACTTCAAGTTTCTGGTAACACATCTTCCTCGCTAATAATTTCACATAATCTTGTCATTTATCCCAGAAAAGATCATTGCATCGTGCCACTACTCTGAATGTACGTGTTGGTTAGGATCAATTGAGGACTATAGTTGTTCCTGAACTCCTTAATTGATCTTACTGATATAGACTTAATAAATTGTTATACGATAATGTCTTTGGTTAACCTTTAACCATGATTTATAATTCCTTTCTTTCCATTTTTACCTCAAGATCCACTGTTCTGATCACTTGTTAAGAAGCTTGTGGATTCTAATTGGCCACTGGATCATTGTGTTTTGATTAGCATAATCTACACGAGCCCGTGTTACCAAGAGTAATAAAACCTACATTCCACTTTAATAATAACAATTCACGCAGTAAGTCACCAACAAGTTTATATCGTGAATTATAGACTATTAATGTATACAGGCTACATAATTCTTGACGCTACAGGTCACATCGAGAATTAGAATCACAAACATGCTAAAATATAAAATCAGAAGGCAAGCGTCGGTGAAGAACTTACCTGGCGGGCGAGCAGGTGCAGGCGAGATCAAACTCGCCTGCAGGCGAAGGCGGACGAGATCGAATTCGCCTGTAGGCGAAGGCGAGTAGGCGGGCAGGTGCAGGCGACTTCGAGCTCGCCTGTAGGCGAGGCTTGGACAGGCGAAGTCGGACTCTGTCGTGTGCGTGGGGCTCAAGGTGCTCGCACGGCGTGGATGGGAACCAGCTAGCTCCAGCTGGCTTCGAGCTCGCCCCTAGGGTTTCCCTATAAAAGGGAAACCCCTTTCGCGATCTGAAGTTGAGCGCGAGAGCAGAGAGAGAAGAAGTGATTGGCGGCGGGGCTTTCCTCTTGAGCTTCCGTTCTCTCTGCAGTTTGGGAAATTTCTGATTTTTATTCCCTTTTTTCCCTGTTCTCATTTACTGTTGAGAAGGGGTTGGTGAATATTAATTGGGGAAGTTATTGCAATAGAGAGAGAGAGAGTGTTTGAGCATTGATTTTAGATTAATATGAATTGCTATTTGTTTGAGAGATCTCAAGTTTAAGATCCTCTCTCTTATTTGTAATTTCTTGTTATTAATAAGAAATTATTGTGCCGCTCCCATGGACGTAGGCAGATTTGCCGAACCACGTTAAATATTGTGTTATTGCTGGGATTTGGTTGCTTGTATTATATTGTGGTCTATTATTGTTCTTGTGTGTGTTATTGATTTGTCGAATCGGCTTCCGCGGCGCACTACAAGTGATATCAGAGCTCCGGGTTGGATTTGTGAGTTTTGTTCGAAGGATTCACTGTTGGATTCTTGTTTGGAGAGTAGATCTGCAATATGGGTGATACAAGCAGGGCTAGTTCAAGTGCTACAAGTACATCGGGGTCGGCTTTGACAAAGGCGATCCAAAATTTGAGCATCAATAATACTAAAATTGATGTTCCACAGTTCGACGGCAAGATCAATTTTGATTTGTGGAGGTGTCAAGTAATGGATGCCTTAGATGCACAAAATTTGGAGGAGACTCTTGAGCTACAAGAGAAACCCGAAGATATTGATGACAGGGTTTGGAAGAAAATACACAGTAGGGCTTGTGGGGTTATTCGGTCATGCTTGACACCGGATCTCATTTATGATGTGATGAACGAGACGTCGATGAAGAGATTGTGGGAAACGTTCAATGAACAATATTTGACGAAGAGCATTGAGAATCGACTTTACTTGAAGAAGAGGTTCTACCAATTCAAGATGAAGAGGGGAGTTTTGACGAAGAGCATTGAGAATCGACTTTACTTGAAGAAGAGGTTCTACCAATTCAAGATGAAGAGGGGAGTTTCCATTCGGGAGCATGTTAACAACTTCACAAAGCTAATTTCGGATATGGCCAATGTAGATATCATGGTGGAGGATGAAGACAAGGCTATGTTACTATTGTGTTCGTTGCCGGATGATGAGTTTAGTACGTTTGTTCTCACTATGATAAATTGACAAACTACATTTAGCTACAAGGAGGTTACCTCGATGTTGGTAAATTATGAGCTGAGGAAGAATGATGGTGAGCCCTCCGAGAAGGCATTGGGAGATGCATTAGTAGTTCGTGGCCGTGGTCCAAACCGTTAGAGGTTCAACCGCTCAAAATTAAAAAATAGGGGTGGCCATAAGAGTGTTGGTAGAAATCAATGTGCCTTTTGCAAAGAAGTGGGACATTGGAAGAATGAGTGCCTAAAGTTAAAGGATAGAGTCGGGAAGCAAAGGGGAAAAGCTGTACAAGCTTCAGAGGTGAATGTTGCTAAAGTTGTTGGCGACACTTCAGATTCGGATTCTTCCGATTATTCTTGTCACTGCCGTCTGTTTGTTATGCCGACTCTACGGAGTGGATGCTTGATTCGGGAGCTACATTTCACATTTCGCAGTGTCAATCAGTTTTGGGTCGGTGCCTACAACTTGGTTCGAGCCAAAACGCGTCACCAAAGTCGGGATGAAGACGTAGAATGACGATCCGCACGGACAGCGCCAAAAGGGACTTGTGCCGCACACAACCCCAAATGGCGAAATCCTTTCACGTTTGTCCTATTAGTGGGATTGGCTCAGTCAGAATCAGAATGCATGATGGGGTGACTAGGGAATTAAAAGAAGTGAGGTTCGTGCCACAGTTGATGAAGAACATCATTTCTCTTGGGACTTTAGAGGCAACTGGTTACAGAGTGATCTTAGAGGATGCTACTTTGAAAGTCATGAAGGGATCCATGGTGGTGATGCGAGGTGTCAGGGAAAACAACCTATACTACTTGAAGGGCAAGACAGTTACAGGGGGTCTGGCTGCTTCTATTACCACAGAGGAGGACACTACCACACTATGGCACATGAGGCTTGGACACATATGTGATAAGTCCCTACAGTCATTGGCAAAACAAGGGCTATTGAAAGGTGCAAGGACCTGCAAGATGGAACTGTGTGAGCATTGTATACTTGGGAAGAAGACTAAAGTGAAGTTTGGCACCATAATTCATAACACCCAAGGTATATTGGATTACATTCACACAGATATTTGGGGCCCTTCCAAGCACACATCGCTTGGTGGGGCAAATTATTTTATCACTTTCATTGATGATTATTCCAGAAGGAATTAGTTATATACCATGAAGCATAAACATGAGGTCCTGGATATATTTGTGGAGTGGAAGAAGAAAGTAGAGCTGTAGACAGGTAGAAAGGTGAAGACTCTTCGTTCAGACAATGATGGAGAGTATAAGAGTGATCCATTTCTGTAGTTTTGCCGGGATCACGGCATTAGAAGACACTTCATAGTTAGAGAGACACCACAACAGAATGGAGTGGCTGAGAGGATAAACCGTACCTTGCTGGAGAAGGTGCGATGTATGATGACGCAGAGTGGATTGGCTAGATCCTTTTGGACCAAAGCGTTAGTTTATACGAGCCATCTTATTAACAGGTTGCCGTGCACTGCGATAGAGGGGAAGACTCCGATGGAGTGTTGGTCTGGTTCTGTGGCTAGTGATTATGAGACTCTTCGGATATTTGGGTGTCCAACTTATTTCCTTGTTAGTGATGGGAAGTTGAATTCGAGAGTGAGGAATGCTGTCTTTGTGGGATTTAGAGAATGTGCCAATGGCTTCAAATTATAGGATCCACAAGACAAGAAGATGGTCATTAGCAGAGATGTCACATTTAATGAGGCGTACATGATGAAGCCTCGAGTTTCTCAGCAGGTGGAGGAAGATCAGACAGGAGGGATATCGCAGCAGGTGGAGGATGATGTGACTCCACCCACTCCAGTCAATACTGTGTCTATTGAGACTCCTACAGAGGTGGCATGGGAAGGAGTTGAGATGACAGTCGGGTATTTGGAGGATACAGTGGATAGTGAGACTCAGGAGCAGGGTCATACTCAAGGGTCCATTGTAGTAGATAGACCGAGGAGAGAGATTCGTCAGCCAGCTAGATATGATGATGTCATGATAGCATATGCTTTATCTATGGAGGTTGTTGATGATTTGATTCCTGCCACATTCAGGGAGGCAGAGTCTAGCCCTGATTCCATTAGGTGGAGGAATGTTGATGATTTGATTCCTGCCACATTCAGGGAGGCAGAGTC